AAGGCTGGGATACTACCCGGGTGCCCAAATCGAAGTAGGGGGTTTTCTTAAAGTGACACACCCGGAGTCTTTGACCTAAAGGTTTAATCCAAAAGACATTGGAGCAACGTAAAAAGATGTAGTCCCACAGTAACAGGTGACCAACGATTGGTTCACACGCCATTTGTTTGCTTAGGATACCGGATCCCATGTACACCATTGATTTGGAATCAGGGTTTTCCAACTCCACTAGGTGAATCCTTCGTATCCACCAACCCAGTTAAAGCGCCGGATATTTGCTTTTCACCCTCTAAATTTTGCAAACAACACCCCTGCCACGAGAAGGTAGTGAGTAGGACTTCCATGGCAATGGTTGTATGAACGTGACCATGTGAGAGCATTTCAAGTAGGAGAGCTGACTTTCCACACTCTCGGCCGTATCATGTTATTTAGTGTCTTTATTCTCTTTTACTGGACTCCAAACAAAACTTAACAAAAGTTTAATGTTTACTGTTTTGCCCAGATCATATTGAGTCGTAGTAATGAAAATATTTTCGATAATGTATGTGTATATACATAAGCTGTAAATAATAAGAAAGGATAACCGATACCTTTAAATTGAACACATATGACATTTTATATTAAGAAGAAGTTTAATTAATACATAATTTAATTAAAATAAGAAAACTTATTATCAGTTGAAGGTAACAAGTGGATAATAGAAGTTGTGGTTTGTAAATACTCACCATAATTAATAAAAATCAATCATTAGGTTGCTATGTGATCTCTAGCTAGAAACATGGATATTTTGACTTGATTATATAAATAATACCATGGTCAAATTTATTTTTCATTTTAATTTAAACTATAAAACAATAAGTAGGTCTCAACATACACAAAGGCAAAAGCAAGATTCTCCGATACAACACAGAATGTAACAATCGAATCACTCTTGACGGAGAAGATTCGGAAGATGTAAAAATCTTTACATATCTGAGAAGCATCATTGATGAATACAGTGGATCTGATGCAGATGTGAAGGCGCGGATCGGCAAAGCAAGAACAGCATATCTAAAACTGAAGAAAATCTGGGGCTCAAAACGACTGGCAACCAACACCAAGGTTAGGATTTTCAATTTAAACTTGGAGAACTACGAAAGCCATCATCCAGAAGATACAGGTGTTTATTAACAGTTGTCTACGTAAAATACTTCGGATCCGTTGGCTAGACACTATTAGCAACAATCTACTATGGGAGAGAATAAACCAGATTCCAGCGGAGGGAGAAATCAGGGAGAAGCGCTGGAAGTGGATAGGACACACATTGAGGAAAGCACTCAATTGCATCACAAGACAAACCCTCACTCAGAATCCTCAAGGCCAAAGGAAAAGGGGAAGATCAAAGAATACATTACGCCGTGAAATGAAGACAAACATGAGAAGAATAAAGAAAAATTGAATAGAACCAGAAAGGAAGGCTCAGGACAGAGTAGGTTGGAGAATGCTGGTCGGCGGTCTTTGCCCCATTGAGAGTAACAGGATTAAGTGAGTAAGTATAAAACAATAAAAAAGAATGAAGATTAATTTTCTATTGACATTGTTTAGTATATCAAAAAAACTAGTAATTCTTTGTAAATAACGATCGATGGGATACTTTTTCTCTAAAAAAAACAATTTGTTTTCTTTTAATTTTGTGTTTTCTAAGTAAACAATCGAAAACAGTATTAATTTCTATGTTATTTAATTAGTATCCTATTTACAATCTATTTAGGATTTATGACTGAATGTGCTTATTGAATGATTAAATAGAAAGATGCATAAGTTATTACAATTTATATTCAAAATAATCTAAATTTTCAATGAAGTTTATCATTCAGAGTATAATTTGACAAGATCAGTGAATTATTTTAACGAAATATGCCTATATACTACTTATATCATGTGAAAAAAATGTAGTTATCTCTCGATTGAGCAATATATTGTGTTAAATAAACTAATTTTTGACACATCTTATCCCTACAATCTATTAATTATCATAAAATAAGGAATACTGATGAAGCTTTTCGTATAAAATTGGTTGAAATTTGACATTAACACCGTTGAATGTCAACCCAGTGGTCTAGAGGTTAAGGGTTTGCACGCGAGACCGACAGGTCCTGGGTCCGAATTCCGTCGGAGAGATCGTGGATGTGCACTGTTGAAGAGTCCAGATTTTTCATGTTGGTCTAGCTTCAGGTAACTACGGGTTTGAGTCCCGGAGTGAACATCGATTCTGAAATGCATATACATCCAGCTGATGAGTCCTAAATGGGACGAAACGCGCGTCCTGGATTCCACTGCTAGCCATCATCCATCTTTGTTTAAATATAAAAAATTTTTAGAAGAATTCAAAATCTTCATTATGTAAAATCATATGAAATTTATTTACCCTTTATAATATTATCATCTACCTTTTATAAGCTATTCATCGATAAAAAATGTTTTTTTTTGATCGACTAATAATTGTCTGTAATTGTTTCCAATTGTTTTAAGCTCATTTTTAACCTATGGAAATTATCACTAGAACGTAATTGTTAATCTATAGCTAATCATTTAAGTGTACAAAATGAATTTTATTTAACCTGATCATTTTTGTTCTCATATTTACATTATGAAGAAGTCTACATTATTTTGATTTAGTTAAATAGATTTCTCAGCTTCATAATCAACACTTTCATAAAGCTAAAATACATTTCTATAGTTTAATAACATTAAATTAGAACTGAATGTAACATTTGAAAATTATAAGTACTTTTCATTGAAATTTTAAAGCAGTTAAACAAAAGTAAACTGATTAAACATATAACTGATAATGGAAAGATAAATCTATTAAAAAATGGGACATTGTTACGAAGTTTACATCAGTACACTTGTCATTAATTTAGATACTTGAAATTTTCCTTTTTCTTCTGATCATATAGATAAACATCATTTTGAAATTATGAATCGATCTCATTTAGATAATTATCAGTTCATGATGTCAATAATAATCTTTACAACCACCAAACTGACAATTATATGTTTATCAGAAAGGATTTTGTGGAGATTTTATTAATTTCAGTATTTGAAATCATGAGACATTAATACCGTTGGATGTCGGCTCAGTGGTCTAATGGTTAAGCGCTCTCGCGCGAGACTGGTAGGTCCTGGGTTCGAATCTCTCGGAGGTAGGGGGGCGGGATCACGGATGTGCATTGCTGAAGAGTCCCATACTAGGATGAAACGGTCATCCAGTTCTTCTAGGTTTTCCATGGTGATCTAGCTTCAATTGACTCATGATTTCAACTATTGAATCAATTAAGTAGATACATGTAATTGATAACTACAGCTATATTTTCTAACATTTTTGTGAATAAACAATTATATGATAAATATTTGCAATTTAATATTGAATTGAATTATCTAAATGAATTGATCAATTCATTCACATTCCACTTTCATCAAGATCAAGTGATTTTGAATTTATTACCTTGAATGTATTTAAAGGTTACGTAACCAAGGTCATTGATTAATTTACATGTATCAACTCATTCTATGACAGTTTTCAATAATATTAAAGAAATTAGTACTATTGAATATAAAGAATATGATATAATTAATTGATATTGAATCAGCATAAAAAAGGGAGATAAGTGAATATATGACCTTATTATAATTTTTAGTTATTATACTTCATCCATTATAAAATATAATTAGTATTTACATTATTGTAACTAATTCATTCATTGTTTACATATTCAGTAATATCTAAGCAATATTTTATATTCTCCTATTGATTTTCATTTGATTTACTATCCTAGCAACTAACTATAAATGATCTAAAATAAATTATAATTACTTAGATATTGAATATTTTGTAAGAATTATATATATATATATATATATGAAAGATGTATTCATATTCATATCGATCGCATATTAAAAATAGAGATCCCATTATTCAATTAATGTGTACTAAAATCTGTAATCATCAAACTTTAGTTATGCCGATTTTTTCATTATAATTTCAGATGAGAAATTTTATTGATTTTCTTGATATCATTTATACTTCTTTGAGCTAGTACAAATTATCCGGCTTTTTGGAAATTCATAATATTGTAATAAGAATAAGATAGTGGTAAATTAGTTATAACACTGAAAGAAAGTTATAAGATATAAAGAACTATTTGAAACCTTGGCTTGGGTGAAAGCTAATAAAGTACATTACAAAAATATTGTACCATAGTATGTAACCACAAATTTTAAACAGTTAGGTGGTGATTGAAGGTAGTCAACAGGAAACCCTGGACCCGAGTTTCGTGCTACTTGATACTTGTCAGCAAGGTTAACCTGTAGTCTTGAGGGAACTGGTGCTCCCAGACAGATCTGTTCCCGTGTCATCCAACTTCACAGTCAGAAAAGTTACCACTGGGTTATCCGGGCTGCGACAGACCTCCTGTAGGACTGAGATGTAATCACAATTGATTGATCACTGGGTGGTGATCAATGTCATGAGTGTCTAGTCCTTATTAGTGCAGACTGAATGCTATTGACCATGACATTGATCACCACCCAGTGATTAATCAATTGTGAAACTTATACAGTGCCTAGGAGAAACCGAATAGACATTTTTATCATTTCGTTGATATACTTACTATTAAATCTCTAAATAGATAACCACTATAAGTGAGTTTCATGAAAAAAGACAATAATTGTATTCATTTCTTATTCGTTTAATGTTCGATTTTCATACAGTCACCCTTGAATGCTCAAATCAGTGACATTAAAGTAATCAAACTTACCAATAAATTGTTTAAATAGATTTTAATTAAATTGAGTTTCAGACGTTTGATTCATTTAACGTTAGACAGAATGTTTGTGTGGTTAGTTTCAGTGTTATATTAAATTTTACTAGAAAGTTAACCATGATTTTATGAATCGAGAAGTTTATTATTCATCAAAAGTGTCTAGTTTTATGATAAGTTTGAAATTTACGTAACTATACAAATGATTTTCTAACGTTTATGACTAAGATGAGATTTATAGGCTCTTAGATATACATTTAAAATGTGATCTTCATGTAAACATAGCTTAACACAGAATTTAGTATCAAAAAACTAAACTTGTCATTACGAAACATTGTCATTTCATTAAATTGTTGGCTATTGGACATTGAACTTAGTTCCACAACAGAAATCAAACAGCTGATTGCTTCTCAAGTAAGTAACATTTATCTGCGTGGTGCCTTCAGAAGCTCACATAACCGTGAAGAGTTTAGTTGGAATGAACTAACGCATCAGAATTTTTTCATTGATCGGGTTTGATAGGACCTGATTGTTTCCTTAAATTATGCTAGACGATCGTCCAACTATAATAAGTCATTGAAACAACCTGATAGCAAAGAGAGATAGCTAATATCTATGATATGAATTGTTCTCAATCTGTCAGAAATTTCCTATCTGTGAAACTCAATTGCTTTCGACATCAAATCAAAATGACTGAATTAGTTTAATGCTATTTTATTTAAGATGGCAAGAAGTAATTTGACACGCCGTAAAACTGAAATATTTCACTTAAATTAATATAAATGGTTTAACATATGAGATTAATTATATTTATGTTTTCATAGATATGACATTTAAAGACAATTTGGATTTTGCAACTGAAGAAGACTATGATTTTAAAGCTTTAAATTATACACGAAGTTGGATAATTGCAGGTTTTATAATTTTGGCAGTGGCCATTGCTTTGGCTGCTGCTTCCGTCGCTCTACCAACATTTGTTATGATTACTCCATCAGTGTTTGATGCATCCAATGCCAATGTAAACAAAGCCAGAACTATGGGTTATACAAAAGTATGCTTTACATCAGGTAAATAGAGAGAACAATGAAAAGTTACATTTTTCTATTATATTTGTATATATTATTTTAATCAAATACTCATCGCTTGTTCGATTATTAAATGTAATCGACAAGAAACTACTGATCTCTTTCGTGTTAACTAACACTCATCTGTTTGTTATGTGTATCAAGACATTTAACGTAATTAAGAAATTCTTCTATATATATATTAATCTTCATTTCTCAGTGTTACAATCAGAGATGTTATCTCTACATTTCTTACATAATCACAATCACTTACGCAATAATCGTTATAAGTTAACAAAAAGCTGATATAGCTAGTAACAGAGGAGAGAACAAAAATGATGAATAAAGATTTAGTCTACATCATATATAGATCAAAACTATGTTTAAGTGCATAGAATCTTATTTGCTTTAATTACATTGATCATTATAGTTAAATTGAAATAGATTAAACTCAATAGTACTTTAGATTAATCAATAATTTGTTGTATGCTTACAATATACAGTATCTTAAAATAAAACTGCTATAAGCAATAAATATAATTAATTTACAGAGTCTTTTTGATATTAATCGTCTTTATATACTAATTAATGTTCTATTCTATTCAATAATGTTAACTGGGATTTATTCTATATTCAAAATAGTTATTTTACTCATATTTATTGGACAGTTCTTAGAACATGTTTAATCACCGTAGGTAATCAAGAAAATTCACAATAAAGATAAAGCCAGTAATGAATTACTCAAATAATCATTATTGATTTTAAGGGTTATAATTAGAAATCTAAAAGAATAAATACGTTGATCATTGATTTTCTTATTTACCTCATAATGTGGACTGACCTAACAACTAATCATTAATGCTTAATATATACATATTATTACAAACGATTTCGTATGAAATACTGTGCAGTTTAACTAATCAAACAATGAACAACCGTTGTTATCATAGAATAATCATTTATTAAAATATAATTCCAAATTAAATAAGAACTTTCGTCTAAGTTTGAACGAATGGTTTCACAATGTTTGGGCGCCAAGTGAATGTGAGACATTAAAGAGGAAGAATGTATTTGTAAAATCTCAGCGAAAGAATTTGAAGTAAATCCAACGTTTCACCTGGTAATCTGATCTAAACTTTTTCAAGGAAAATATAATCAAACAACAGAATTATCGAATATAAATAGGTACATGTTCCTCTGGTTTACTGCATACTGAATAAGTCGTCCAATCAATCAGATGATGTAAGAAAACTTGAGAAGAAATCAGCGATAGCATTACACTCCATAGAATTGGGTCATGCAATTGATTTCAATGGCGCAAGGATCGTTCAAAAAGGTTTTAATTATTACAAACAGAGACTAACAGCCGAAGCCAAACATATATGGGCTAATCCAAACAGTAATAATAAGAGAGATGGAATACAATTAGCTGTCCCATGGCAACTAATAATTAATAACTAAACCTGAACTCCTTATTTCCATTCTATCTATCTCGTGTTAGCTAAATAACAGATATTACATTCAACGGTTCAAATCAGTTATCTTATCTGAATATGTTAAACAATTGACTGGAACATTAAAATAACACAAATTTTGGATTGCAAATACATTCTTCCTCTTTGAATTCAGTCATTCATCTTGTTTATTCGTCTTCATTTTATACATGCTGTGACATTTTACAAATACATTCTTCCTCTATAATTCCAAATTACCCATAAACGATTAGTTTTTTTAAAGAAAAACCCCCAGTGATTATATCACCTCTTCTCATGTATTTCTTTGATTAACTAACAAATGAAATTTTTTAAGATTATGAACCGATTGATGTTAGATCATGATTGAAAACTTGCAATCACTAGACGATCTTTTTCAATGATGATCTAACATCAATCAATACACGATCTTAATCAAATATTTAATGTCAGTTTAGGGGTTGTGGAGATTGTTAATTTTTTGATTGAGATCATGAACTGAATGATGTTAGACCACCATTGAAAACCTGAAAACATTGGACGACCGTTTCATCCTATTGCGGGACTCCTCAAAAAGAAAATTAATAATCGCCACAACTCTATACTGTTAATAAATTGAAGTTGATATAATTGTACAAAAGTAATTTATTCCATGATTACATTATCTAATCTACTACTTATAAGAATATGTTGATGCTTAAAGAAATAAAATTGATTATATGCCATAAGATTATTTGTGAATATCAATATTCAACAATAACATAAAAAATTCCTTTATCAGTTAAAGTATTTTCAATACAACTAATACAATTCATATTCAATAGGAATGATTAAAGAAGAATTAAGATGATCATATTACATAACATTCTTATATATAAATAATTTATAATATTCAGAATAGTATTTATATAATAAAGTTATTATTATTATTATTACTATTATTATACAGATAACACATGCCAGAACCGTGATCCAAGCTATGTAGATGAATATTCAACTTTAATGACAAGTACGTTACAACATTAATTCATTTATTCATAATTAGAATGTAATGGTTTCTTTCTGTTTTTTTGTTCTTTAATTAACCAACTTAGTCTTAATAAATATAATGATTACTGTTATAATACAATGAAAAAGTCTAATCAATGATAATTTTAGCCTTTTCTTTTTTTCTAGAATATTTGATTGTTATTGACTGATCAACTTCAATGGCTTGTTATCATTCTATGCATTCACTTTTACATTGATTGTTGTATAAAGTTAATCTGTGACTAATTAACGTTTGAGTCACATCTATAAGACTATATGGCTATGTAGAGCTGAAGATCTCATATGAGACTGGAGGTTAACCATTGGTATTAAGGATGGTTCGGCATTGCATTTGGCAAGTTTTGCTGACTGTTCATGCACAAAATTGGTTTGCTGGTTAACCGATTTCATTCATACTGGTGGCTGCTTTTCAGTGTTCTCGAGGGCCATTGTCATTGGGACATTGTAAGGCATGTCGCTATTGCTAACATTAATGAGTTCGACTGTAGTGTAAGCGGAATAGGTCAACTTTGGCCTCTTCGTGCTGTGCATAATTGATTCACGCGATCATTGATCGGAATAACTATACATGTGACGTGAATGTGTATATGAATGTTGCGAATGGTCTACCAGGGTGCTTCGTACCTGTGTGGTTGCGCTACAGGATTGAGCTATACTATTCAGATTGTAGCGTTAAAGCCTATACGGTTTCTGGTTCTCCTGTGAAGTGTGATTGAACTGTACTGCTCAGGTTATAAAATTTAAGCCTGTGCAGTGTCTGGCTCTCCTCTTAAACGGGATTGAGCTGTACTGTTTGGGTTGTCACGTGAAAGACTTGATGGTGTCTGGTTCTCCTGAAAACCAATGTAAAATCACCCTTACCCATAAGGGTATATTGTATAACATAACTGTCGCATCTACAGGTTTATCAAATACCAACAGATACAAGTACCAAACCTCTAAAAAATTCTCTTAATTTTTTTTAAAACCAACATTTTAATATTGTTTAATTAAATTAATTACCTTAGTTATACAATATATACGCATATATACATATACATGCATCAATTTAAGTGATAAAATATGGCATGTAATTTCCGTTCGTGAATGTATAGCTCAAATGTACATCCACTTTATACGATGTGGTGTTTTACAGAGACTTTTATTTGTATTGTAACTAGAATTGAATTTGTTGCGCCTCTTTCCTTCACGATTTAGCAGGTATAAAATGTAATGAAGTGATTTTGTTATTGAGATCACCAACAAGAATCTGTACTTTTTTCAGAGTCTTCACCAAACAAAACCATTTCGTCCACGTCTTGTAAATCAAAAATTTTATCTCATGGTAGAATAATCGAGAGTTTGCTGGATCTATAGTCGCAATACTTTTTGGATGGTTTCTATTAATTCGACACTTAGATAATAACTTATCCATTGTCATCAATACAACCACTGAAGAAAGATGAAAAGTAGATTGGTTTCGGAGATTTTACTAACTGAATTGTGGCATATTTAATAAAAAAAGTATTATTAAAGAATGAGGTAAAACATTCGTGAAGACAAAATAAACGAATAAACTTCTCAATAACACGAAAGAAAGACAATAAGGAAACTTGCTAATAAGAAATCATCATTTTAAGGTGATTGAGAAGATTTCTTGCTCAGATAGATGAATTCGGTGGACTTTTGTTCTCTAAACTGGGTTATTCAATCATAAAGGTCAAACGGTAACATAATCAAAATAAATATGCAGGCAATGACATGTAAAGGATCAGAAACAACTAATCAGACGCCGACAGAACAAGATATGAGTCATGTGTGAAAAAACTTCAATAGTTCACATCTATCTGAAGTTCGTACTGACCATGTCATCCAGAAGCACAGTAAAGGACTCACTACCAAACCGTTCAGCTCAGGTAGCGAGATTTAGCCAAAAAGAAGTCGTTATTACATAGATCATGAATAAGTCAGTCAGTTATGATTAGTATGAAATCTGACAGAAATATTTATTAGTCTGATATAACACACTCTCCAGTAAAACTAGATCACGAACAAATTAAGCGAAATTGAAATCAGAACAATAACAGTGATGTTTGTAAGAGTTCGAGAAGTTTAATGACCATCACAAAGGCCACTTATTATATGAACTGAGTAACTCTGTAGATAAAGTGTTGGTGATTTAAAGAAAAATGTACTTTGTTTGAAACCCACTGTAAACTTCATCACTGAGATTCAGGTACATCAAGTGGATATGTCTTCAGTAGAACTAAAAGCTCGTTTGGGATTCCAATGTCAGTAAAAAAAACATAAAAATAAATATAATTTTGAAAACAACCGTTGGAATCCAAAGAAATATATGAAATACCATACCATTATCTGTAATCTTTATTAAAAACAATTAATATATTTCACTGAAGAAAGATAATATTCTTTTCCCTTTTTATTTTTTTCTGAATATTTTAAACATACACATCTATAGATCTACGTCTCGCTGAACTGGCTATGCATTCAATAGCAATAATTATCATGTGTATTTGTTTTATTGCTGCTCTTGCATTGATCATTGTTTGGTATCAACAGAATAAAGATAGTAAATTTTTCAGAAATTGGCGATTAATTTTAGGTATATTTGTTATGTTAGCTGGTAAGTTAAACAAAATAAAGAGCTATAATACTAGTAAGGGTTTTCTGGATATTATAGTAATTTCAATGGTTGAAATCATGAGTCAGTTGAAGCTAGATCACCATGGAAAACCTGGAAGCACTGGACGGCCGCTTCGTCCTATTGAGGGACTACTCAGCAGTGCGCAACCACAATCTCGAACCCAGAACCTATCAGTGTCACGCGCGAGCGCTTAACCAATAGACCACTGAGCCGGTTCGAATCCCACGGGGGGCGAGGTCAAGGATGCGCGATGCCGTCCATTGCTTCCAGGTTTTCCATGGTGGTCTAGCTCTAACTGATTCATGATCTCAGCCATTGAAATATAATATTTTTTATTTTAAAGTTGATTTCATTCCAATCCAATATCAAGTAGATGGAATTTTTCTCCGTCTTGGAAAAAAATTTAGAAAAATAATAATCGTTATGATAACAAGAAACTCATACATTCTGATAAGCTGGCAATCGTCATGAATTATAGAATTTCAAGAGAAATTTTAGGTTGTGATATGTAACGTCGAATTTCACAAGTGACTTACTATTTTCGAGTACTTAAGATTCATATACATAACATGAATAATCACGACAAGTAGATGAAGAGAGAGACAGAGTTACTGATAACTACTGTGCTCTAAATTTGGCAGAAGGTTCAATCTTACGGAAACTATTTTGATGTTAATGATGTATTCGAAACAAGTTGGTTGAAATTTTAATTAATATTGAGAATTTGATAATTAATTGAACTGCATATATAATGAAGCTAGAATGGCTTAAACTGAATGAAGTAGATAACCTCGATACTTCATAGTGATTCAAAGTAAAGCAGAGATGAAAATATGAGTATATTTAAGCATTACTAATATCACTCAGACAGTCAGTCAGCTACAACGTAGGATCAGGCACATATGTGCGTCAGTCCAAGTTACCACACGCCATTAGCACAACATGATGAACACCGAATTCATAGAAGTAGTTAAATCAGTGGTGGTGGTGGTGGTAGTATATAAAATAAAGATTGCATATAAAGACATAGTACAGGAAGAAAGAATTAGTTCGTAGAAAGAAAGATAAGAAGCAATCTTAATCTCATAGTTTGAAGGGAGACAAATAGTGTATACACCTACGCCATTGTGATCGATTCTGAGCCATGTCACCAAGAATCTCCAACCATTGGTTAAGATAGTCACGCGGACCCCAACCAAATAGTCTGCATCTACCAACATGGCTCAGACTAGAAGTTAATGACTTCAAGCATTGATGCATTACTAATATACAAATTCCTATAGTAATTACACAATGAGTTGAATCATATGAGAAAGTGTGTTTTCTAAGTGAAATTTTTAGGCAAGTTTAAATTAAATTAAGTGGAATTAATACAGGAATCGGTAGAGAAATGATTTTGATGTGTCAAATTTACTTATTTCTGCTTTACTACGGATAATGTTACTGTTTTCAGACACTTCTGATTTTAGACTTCAAAATCTAAAAAAGATTTTGTTACAGTTGGTATCTTGAACCTCCTTTCCTATTTTATTCACTTTGTTTCTATGTTCTTTGGTTGTTTATTTTTTGAGAGTTTTAACATGAATGAATATATTGCAGTAAAAACCAATATATTAACTTTTGAATTGATCACTTATTGGTTAAAACATTCACTTATTAAAACTTGAAAATTTGAAATCCGCCCTACTCATTAAATTTGAGCAGCTGGGTGATATAGTTAGATGGAAAGTTGTTTAAGTTCAAATCTTAGTATAATAGAGCTTAATTGTAAAAGAAGTTGCATTATTAATTATTGTATTCCCAGTATAGGGGTTGTTGGAGATTATTAATTTTTTTGATTGAGATCATGAACCGATTGATGTTAGACCAGCACTGGAAACCTGGAAGCACTGAACGGCCGCTTCGTTTTATTGTGGGATTCCTCAGCAGTGCGCATCCACAATCCCGCTTGCGGAATACTGGTAACTAACATGTGCTCACTAGTGACTAGCTTCGTGAGAAAATTCTCGGAGTTTTAGCGGGAAGCCGTGACCAGTGGAGCCAATCCGTGTCGGGTAGAGACAGGTATCTACCTCAGTACAATGGAAGATGGTCACGCAATTTCGTGGATTGGTTGATGTTAGAAATTAGGACCACTGGATATCGGCTCAGTGGTCCAGTATGTCAGGCGTTCGCGCGCGAGACCGAAGGCCCTGAGTTTGAATCCCTCCAGTGTGGTCGTGGATGCGCACTGGTGAGGAGTCCCACGATAGAACGAAACGGTCGTCAAGCGCTTCCAGGTTTCCAACGATGGTCTAACATCAGTTAGTTCATGATCTCAATCAGAAAATTATTGTATTTGCATACAGTCATATTGACTAGTCTTGCTTTGTTATATTCATTAATTATAAAATTGGTAAATATTGTTCATTATAACAGTGACAGTATTATATTTGAAAAACTTTTTAATTTTTTTAAAAATATTTTATAAAGGATTTTGTCTTCAAAGTTCAATTATAATGTTTCATGTTGAACAATTTGAAGATAAATACGGTAAATCATCTGGATACCCATATGGATTTAATCAATGGTCTGAAGTAAGAAATCTCATTCATATTTCAAACTAAATGTGATCGTTCTTGATAGAAAGATTATTCAGTTTATTTTAATAAAAGCAACACTTCCTTATTTATCATGGATGTATTTCATGTAGTCTTGTTATTGTTAAGATCTACCCAGAATTCTTCAATATGGTCTCCAAAAACTAGAAAAAGGCTCAAAATCTCACACAATCAGTAGCCAGTAGATAGTTTAGAGAAACATTGCATGTTTTAATTTTTTGGATAACGATTTGTTCTACTGCCAAACTTACTGAATTTTCAGAAACCCGTAAATAAGCCAGTATTTGCACATCATTTGACCTTGAGATGAATCCTCTAATCTTATTTCTTTACTATTCGGAGCTCAAAATTACGATTATTTAGGGGATCCAGAAAACGGTCCAAGTAGCGAACACATTGGTTGTGATATTACTAGGTTTGAAGCGGTTACGAGTTCACTTAGACTGCGAACGGAACAAAGACTTGTGACCAAAGACCAATAAACTAGCTATTCTATTGCGGCCCAGCCCCGCTAATTAGAGAGGGAAGTCGAAGTCCGAACGGGGAAATACATTCCGCAAGAAGCCAGAAAACGAGCAATAACAACACAAATCAAAACGTATATATACAGCACGAAACCGTCCTTGGGAAGAGTCACAAAATAGCATACTAAAAGATACAACCGACCAATAGCATTTAAGATTTTTCCAAGTGGAAAATATGGTATGAAGGTGAAAAGAGCGCTTTTGGTGGGAAAACAAAGAAATTTAAATTTTCTAAATAAAATTACATAATTAGGTCCTTTTCCAAGTGAGTTCTGGGGATCTAACATCCCCAACAGATATTCCACAACATGACATATCTATAAAAACATGTGTTTACTAAGTTAAATTAGAAACTTCCGTTAGATTGAACCTATGAAAAAAATGATATATTTTTATATCAATCAGTTCTCTATCTAAAAATGAGATCATAAGTTTGAACGTTTTTAAAGTTTCAAGCGATCTAATACTGTTTAATATTCAATGTTTTCTAGGCGTTTTCCAAATGAAGTAATGTATGATAATCTAATTGACAACTATCAATTGTAATAATTCTTCTCATTGCTTTTGGAGTAACTAGATATCCAATAATCTAATTACAACTCTTGTTTTTGTACATAATATGAGCTTCAAATCAGAGCTTCTTGCAAAGTTCTTAATTGTTCCCCATTTATAGTTCACGTATTGAAGCTTAAGGAAGTTTAAGAATTCCTAGAAAGTCAGTATGAGAACTGTTCATTGTACCTATTAACCATGAAAGAAAATCATATCAAAAAACTAAGATTCACTAAAATTATCTTCTATTTTATATGACTTTTCATCAGTAAAGTAACTAATAAATATTTGTTGTATAAAAATAGACTTTCAAATTGTATATAACATTGTATTGAATATCAATTGGCTAACTGACAATCAAAGCATTATGATAACTAAGATTAGTGTAATAATATATTTTATTGTTTTACAAAGATGATAAACATTTCATTTGTTACAATAATTTCTCTTGTATACTAAACGCTAAAACAATATCAACCATACTTATGTAGATTGGAAAAATGTGCTTATCATTTCAGACACCTTGTTATGATACAGTGATGTTGATAAATTAGCATTCTAGTAAAGTCTGAAATTACTTACTATGAACAGTGATAATAAATAAATAAATAAATATAGAAACAGAAGATCTATGTTTACTTATGTATCTAGTCAAAAGGATCCAGTTTACATCTACAAAATAACTTGTTATTGATTTATAAATATTGACTGAATATCTTAGTTCTAGATAACTTCCATTGATTGTTAAATTATAATCAGAATAACTTTTTATATTTAACAAATTTTTTACGTTAAGATTATTTTCTCTCTTTGTTTACTACATTATGCCATATAATTGAAAATAGAAACAACGTACAACAACATCTATTGATTATGGTTCTGGATACATTTTATTATGGCTTGCTACCATTTTCTGTTTTATATCAGCTTGGATATTTCTGGGCACATATTGTTGTTGGACATTAGATGATATCGACACGGATGATGTAAGCACAATAGGTTTTTCTCATTGTCTCGTCTATTAAAACATAATGTTATTAGTGTATATTAATGTAAAGTATAATTATGTGAGCATTTATCAAGATTGAATTTTACAATCATTAAAATCAAAGGAGTAGTGAATACTAGCTTAGATTTCAGAAGTTAAATATAATTTCGATTACACTCACCAAACTTTCCATTTGAAAGTGCTACCACCTTAATCCAGATAAAGATGCATAGTTTCAATAAAATTGTAAATCTCCTATGTTGTTTATCCAGATATGTAATATGGTCGATGACAATATATGTTTGAGTTAAATTATAAATTACTTAAATTGATGCCAGTAGTACATCTAATCAGATTTACATTCTTGACGTCCTTATATCGAAAATATACACAGTTTAATAGAGTAGACAGAAATGAAGTTATTTCAAAGACTCAATCAGATGATCATATTATCGAAACAAATCTTGAACATTGCAGTAACCAAATTTATTTGGTCTGAAATTCATAAAACATGAAATCGATAGAAATAAAACTGACATAACTGAAAGACAACTCACATGTGATTTCAAAGATGTGAAAATAAACCAGTTTACCACAGTGAAATTACATGAAATTTCTAAGACGATTGGATATATAATTGTCAATGGATCCATACACAAAAAAGAACATCACATACTTCAACTTTAGACATGAATGATTTTTCCTACTTATATGATCTCAATTAGAGTTGATGATGTGTTCTTTATATGTGGAGAACACTTGGAGGTTGAAAACAGGCTTAAGTAAATAGCCAAACATCATCTGTAAAATTCACCCTTGGATGGATAGGAACCAGAAAACTTTAGAATTGATTTATCAATAGAATATTCACATGGAATTGAGAGAGAAGTGTGTTGGCTCTATAAGCAGAATGCGAAATGCAACTCATTTCCTAACCTTACAATCAGTAAAGATCTGAGAAGAGAGTATAAAGGAGGAGCTTTAGTACCTAATAACTAACTTATTGGTAAATCTTCACATTTAATTAGAATATATTAAACAACTAACCGATTTAAAAATAAAACTTGAGGGTGACATATGAAGGACAATGTCTGATTAGGTCAACACAACAGATTCAATCAAATCTCTTACTTTACATCATGTAGTTGACCCTAACTCAGTACTAAAAGACTCATCGTTCGATATTGTTAATAGTATCAAAGCCAATCCACCAAAGTTGTATCAATATATCCTTTTCGCATTCCAGAGGCGCTGGCTATACATAACTAAACTATATCTGTGTTCAGAAATAGCTTGGACGTTCTGTTCATGGTCATGATTCTAGTTTCAATTTTCTTAATCAAAATAAACACAAAGATTTATTGTCAGTAGAAGGTTTCGGAAGATTTGTGAGGAGAAACAAGTGCCGACAAACTGGAAAGGACGATACCTCATCAAGATATCAAAGACAGATCTGAGTAAATGTGAAAACTACGGAGACATAACACAACCATCAGTACCAGGAAACGTTTTCAATAGTGTTGCTGAACCGAATGAACAATTCAATAAACGCTTAGGTGAGAGATCAACAGACCAGATTCCGTAAAGAATAGTTGTGTAAAGACGAAATCGCGATACTACAGATTAGCGTTGAACAATCAATTGAAAGGAATTCGTCACAATACATCAACTTCCCTGACTTGAGGAAAGCATTTGGCAGTGGGGATGGAATCTAATGGGAACTTCTTCGACATTGTAGTTTGCCAGAGAAAATCGTCAACATCATTCGGAATTCTTGCGACGGACTACACTGCGAAGTGATGCACGGATAGCTAATAGCCGCATTCCAAGTGAAGACCGGAGCCAGACAAGACTCCTAACTATCGCTCTTCATTTATTTCCAGACGGTTGACTGGATTATGAAGACCTCCACATCTGAGTGGAATCATGGTATACAATGGACAGGCTGGATGCAACTAGAAGATCTGGACTTCTCAGCCAGTGCAGTAGCAGCCTCTGCATCAGTAGGCATCAACATACAAAAATAAAAAATAAAGATCCTCAAATACAACACGGAGAACACCAACAGAATCACACCTGATGGAAAAACTCTGGAAGAGGTGGAAAGTTTCACATATCTGGTTGGCATCATCGATGAACGTGGAGGGTCAGATACAAACGTAAAGGCGAGAATTGGCAAAGCAAGGGCAGCATTCCTACAATTGAAGGACATATGGGACTCAAAATAACTGTCAGCCAGTACCAATTAGGATGAATAGCAACTGGAAATTACTGTCCAGGACAGAGTTCGGTGGAGAGCGCTGGTGGGCTGCCTATGCTCCTCTGAGAGGAGTAACAGGCGTAAGTAAATGGTTGTAGAGATTGTTGAATTTTGTTGAAAACATAAACCTATTTAAGTAAGACAACCAGTGTGTTATAACTTGTGTGATCCGCCAATTGTTATATGTTGGGACGCGTGCGGATTAGAGGACAGCGAATTGTCGATCGGACCAAAGACGCCTAAAACACGTAAGAACAGCCTAGCATTCTGATTGGCCCTGCTTCCCTGTCTAGTCCAGCCAGTTGAGTCCAGAACACAAGTCTCAGCCTCAGCGATATGAATCATTATATTTCAAACATACTCTGTTTATATACCAATCAAACAGACTACATCGTACCATAAAATAGAAAATAACATTTGTACAAGATTTAACCTCCAAGAAATGACACAAATAAATATTGACCAATGGGGAATGACACCATTTCTCATTCAGGAATAGCGTTAGATAATTTCTGGGGTATTTTTCTGAATACCCCAACACAGTGAGAACCTGGAAGCTTTGGATGACCGTTTCGTCGTGGTATGGGACTTCTCAACAGTGCACATCCCTGGGGCCCATAATTTATGCTGAGGGGAATTTTCGTGCTACCTGTTCGCTGGTTGTAATCTAAAAGTAATCATTGTGTCCCTCAAAATCAGTTATGACTATTATTTCCAGAGTTCCGTCTAGCAACCACATTTATCGCAGATACATTTCACCAACTGGGCTTCATATGGTGTGGATGAACTTTATTTTAATCAGTGTTTGTATAATATTGATTTCATGAGAAATCTCAATATTTCTGATAGATCATAGTTCCGAATTAACCGATTTTCAACCAATCGTATCAAGCGCCGCACTATAAGATCATTTTGCCAAGTTTGATTAATTGAATTATCATAATTTCTCAAGTTTGATCATACAAGGTCTCGACTTTACATTCAGTATTTAAATAACATAAAGCTGTAGATTGATACACCTCTATTGTTGTAATGAATTTAAAGACAATGCCACTTTATTTATCTACTCCGTAAGCTATCGCGTAGATCTATGGTAATTTGAAAATCAAGATCTATGACTTGTTGATGAAAATAACATGAACGTTACATAATGAAAACTGCGGTAGAAAAAAAGTTACTATTAAAACTAAATCATTCATGAAGTATTCCGTGTATTTTTATAATACTTGTTAACTAACTATAATCTAGGGATTATGTGATTCAGAGTATTGGATTAGTCAGTGTTGTCTTTATTCCACTATGTTTTTATCTGAATATTGCTTCACTCGATCTAAATTAAAGTTATGAAAAGTTATGACAATTGTAACCTGATTCAAATTTGACAAACAATATTAATAAGCTTATTTTATAAAATAAATAACTTTGATCCATAAAGAAATCATAATTTACAGCACGAACTGACTGTAGCTGGACAACCATTTAAAACCAGGAAGCATTAGGGAGACATTTTGTTCTAGTATGGACGTCCTCTGTAGTGAACATCCATGACTCTGCTTGAAATCGAACCTAAAATGATCATGTCTAGAGGTGAGCGCTAAACTTTTAGACTAAACTGTAAAAGTTTTAAATAAGTCAATAAATGTTCTATGTGAATTAAATAGTCTGAATTTATCAAATATGCTACATAACGGTGAACACATGCATGCGAAAGAAGAAACGATTATCGATCGCTCTATAGTGATAATAGTCAATTCATTTTAGTATCATTGAAACTAATTAGAAAAAGCATTACTTCTTCTTAAAATAAGGAGAGGAGGTTCATTTCATTTTAATTTGCCTTCCAAAGTATGAAAAGTAAGTTAACTTCTTGAACTACTAGTTCTAATGGGTATCAACATTTGAGGTTGAACAGGAAATATTTTTAACATAAAGGCATCCTTTATCTGGTATAAATAACAAATTTGAGGAAATGATATCATGAGTCAACAAAGTTTCTAACAGCATAGCTATGATTAGTATCATCAGATGTGAGCTTATGGGCAGTACTAAATTTTGAGAATAGGATAGAATAGTTTTAAGTGACTAACAGACTCCATAAATAATATTATTGACTTTATTTAGTGTTATATTTTCTTAAGTTAAATGACTATTTTATTAATGTTTTAGTTTTACATAGGTCAGTAATAAATTCATAAACTAGTTATACTGTTGAAGGATGAAACAAACTTTCTAATACTAAGTACATTACCGTTTTCATACTTATTTTATTTGTTACATGTGAACAACAAAATAACCAATTTAATAGGTAGTATAGACCTACTTAAGCCTATTACACCTCGTGGAGAAGCATAAGCTACTGACCAGCAGTCTCCAGTTTATTCTGTCCTGGGCTCTCCTTTCCAGTTGTTTCCAATTGCTATTCAGTCTTTTGATATCTGTCTCCAATTCCCGATACAATCTGTTCTTGAGTCTGTCTCTTCCTTTTTTTTAAGGATTCTAGGTTAGGATTTGGCTCATGATGCAGTTTGATGATTCCTAAGATTTATGCCCTATACATCTCCAGTCTTTTCCTAACTTCCTGCTCAATTGGTTTGTTCCCTACCGTAGTAAATTGTTGTTGATGGTGTCTGGCCAACGAATCCGCAGTATCTTTTAGAATACTTGCACTTTTTGATGATGGTTGTAGTAGTTCTCCGAGTTCCGGCTCCGTACAATATAATTATCTTGACGTTTGTATTGAAAATTCAGACTTTGATGTTGGCTGACAGTTGTTTTTGGTTCCAGATGTCATTCTTGTTTTGTCAATCCGTGCCTTCACATTTTCATCAGATCCTCCTTGCTTATCAATGATACTGCTCAGGTACATAAAGCTTTCCAGATCTCGATCAAAAGTGATTCGGTTGGTGTTCTGTTGTATTTTAAATAAGCAATCAATATGTGTATGTCCAACAGAAAGTCAGTTGTAACCGGAATAGCTTAGTGATGAACTGCTTCTAATGTACTGGGTAACTTGGATTAGAAACCCATGAGAAATATTTCTTACAGGAGCGAAGATAAACCTTACTGTTAAGTGTTAGCCACCACAAAATTCAGGTCCAGGATTTCGTGCAGATTATGTTTGGCTAGTATTCACTAAAAAATACGCAGCAGTCCTCGGAAGTAATGACTGGTGCACTAATAGATATCATAAATTATAAAATAATTAAAATGGTTTCTTAAAGTTCTTTTTCAAGTTAGAACTTGACCTTACACATCCGTCACCTTAGACAATGCAGAAATCGATATTTATCGGAACACTAAATTAACTTATTGAAGCAAAACTACACGCAATAGTGAACTATATGTCATTGAAATAGTTAAAAAGGTGATGGATAATCTTGGATCGAGGGTGCACTGGATTAAGTCACAATAGATGTTACTTGATGTAATAGAAAAGTGATACATTTTCCAATATTATGATAATAGGTATAAGGTATAGTTCAACGCATCCTATGATTGAAGATTCTTTTGTCACAGACTGAAATCAGTTTAAGAAATAGTAATTAAAAATAACAACTTATACTTGTTTCGTCCACATTTGAGACCCATCAACGGTGTGCGCTCACACCACAGAATTTCGAACGTTTTAGGATTATAGTATGAGAACATTAGACGATTGAATCGAAATACAATGACACTTATATTGAACTTTACCATTCATAACTCACTTAAAATTAAACTAATTCTCACAAACCGATCAACCGAATGACAATATTGTACTCATTAATAACAAGTCTTGTGATAGATTCCCAACATTTTAATGTGAAGTCGTGACTTCTATGCTTAAATTATGTAATTAATACATTAAGATGCAGCTAATATATATATATATATATATATATATATATATATATATATATATATATATATATATATATATATATATATAATAGTAATTAGAGAAAAATAATCTAAAACTTTAGTTTCTTGAATCTATTTTCCCCAGGATAACCCAACTTTACCAAGATACTCAACTGATTCCGGCAATGTGAGCAAGCGTGGAACTGAACCATCAATTATCAATCAAGAAAATTGATTGATACTAGACCAGCGATGAAGGCGGTAAAGTAATTAGAAATGATATCCTGCCAATTGTATACGTACTAACAATTATAATAACCTTTTGTTAAAATAATGTGTAACTATTTAATGTGATATAATTAACCACAAAGTTTCTTAAGTTTATAAAAATATCAATAATAATGCAACCTATATCGGTAAATAATGTCCCGTTATAGCTTTTTTTCACTATTCTGGTTAAGAATAAGACTGGATAAAATTAAGTACAAATAAATCTATTTCAGATATGTGTTTATTTATGTATCTACATTAACAATGCTAATAAGAGGTAGCTTTTAAATAAATACTTGTTTCAAACGAGCAACAGTGTTTCAACAACCTATGGTAACACTAAGCATTACAAAACACTTTAAATTTCCTGTTTAATAGTGTAAGGTTTTGTGGAGATTACAGAATTTCAATACGATTGCATGCCACAAACCATTCTTAGTTAAACCACCACTGAAAGCCTGGAGGGTTTTGTCCTAGCATGGGACTCCTCAGCAGTGCGCATCCGACCCCAAAAGAGAAAGAATCCAGGACCTTTGGGCATCATAGCAACCGCCTAACATCTAAGTGAACTGAAATAGAAGCATATCCAGACTGTTGATCACTGGCAAATTGTTCTTCTACACAACTTGAGCGTCCCGACCGTAGCTGCTACCTTGACGTGGTGGTCGGGCTTGCCTATCGTGATGACCCAACCGAGCTATATTGGCTGGAACTCAAGTTCCTGCAGGTTCTACCATGCCAGGCAGGTCGATTGGAGAACGGTAAGACTAAAAGCAGCAACTCAAGGTCTGAGGGCGAAGTCGTACTGCTGACTGTACAGAGGTGTGACAGCAGTAAGGTGTTTCCCTCGGACAACCAGCATCTGCAGCGATGCTGCCTTCTCACAAGGAAGGAAGGGGTTAGAAAAGGTTGACCCTAAAAATGTCACACCTCACCTTACCCCACGGATTTCCGTCTCCGGCGGTAAGGCCCTTTGAAGAACGGAGCTAACACATTAAAAACCTCCCACAAAAAGGCCGTGCGCGACCGGCCTCAAGCAGTTGTCCCTTGGGCTCTGCGGTCACGCACTCAGGTCGCTAAGACCAACACTAATCCGATTTCCTTTTCAGGTCCCCCAAGAAATACCCTTCCACGGTGTGGGCAACCGGGAAGTGATATCAGCCCTCATACCCGTAACAGCACACGAGACCAAGTTGGTCACATTCAAATCCTTCCTACACCTCTCAATGACTCTCTTATCTCCACGACTAACCCTTCTCACGTCCCTTTATCACCTCGCCCCGCTAGTGCGAACGATTCGAGTACGCGGAATGTTATTCCTGGTCTCCTGAAACCACGCTCTAAACTACACGTAGGAGCTTTCAACGTCCGAACACTGTGCCAAATAGGACAACAGGCTTCCTTAGCTAAGACTTTAGAATCTCGCTCCATCGATGTGTGCTGCGTCTCCGAAACGCGCACACAGGATCCTAGTAGTGTCATTCATTTGACTGCACCATGTCAAAGTAACGAACCAACTCGATTTACGCTTCGTGTATCTGGAAGCCCTGATGCTGCATCCCGTGGCCTCGCTGGCGTAGGTATAGCATTGAGTCCTAGGGCAGAACTAGCTCTCTTAGACTGGATCCCAGTAGACAGTCGTTTGTGTGCTGTCCGACTAAACGGAACAGTAAGGATTCGAAAAGATAGGGACACTCGTCGTTGCCTCTTCGTCGTCTCTGCCTACTCTCCCACTGACTGCAGCTCAGATGATGTAAAAGATGAGTTTTACAGAAAGCTTTCCGACCTTCTCCGAAAAGCTAGGCGTTCAGATGTAGTAATAGTGGCTGGTGACTTTAATGCTCAAGTAGGTAAACTAAGCGAAAGGGAAAGACACCTGGGTGGATCTTATGGTGTCGCGGCTCAAAGAACAGATAACGGCGACCGTCTGTTGCAGCTATGCTCAGATAACCGCCTGTTTCTTGCAAACACTAACTTTAAGCATAAGGAAAAACATCTTTTGACATGGCGACCCCCTAATTCGTCTCAACGCTAGACCCAAATAGATCACATCGCTATCAGCCACCGATGGAGGGGCTCGATAGAAGACTGTCGCTCATTCTGGAGCACATGCTTAGACTCAGATCATGCTCTAGTGCGAGCGCGTATTTGTCTACGTCTTACTGGACGTAGGAAACATGCTGCAAGGAAACCCCTTAGGGTCCTACTTAATGACAGTCAGGTTAAGAATATATTTCAGGAACATCTAGAAAAACAGTTAGGCAGCCATGTAAGTGATACCCACCCCGAGGCAGCATGGAATGACATCCGAAAAGCTGTAGAAACAGCAGTGATGTCTGCAAGTACGGTAAACCATAAGGTTAGGGAGAAACACTGGATCTCAGCAGCATCTACCGCAATGATAGATGCTCGAAAACTCATTCCATCTGGCTCTGAGCATAACGAAGAGCGGAGTCAGCTTAAGCGTAAGCTCACTAGAAGCCTACGCAAAGATCGTGAACAGTGGTGGGTAGCGAAAGCAAGAGAGATGGAAAAGGCAGCGGCAATAGGTAACAGCAGGCAACTGTTCAGACTTGTTAAGGAAACCGGTATTAGGAACCCAACTGTTAGCGAAACAATCGCAGAGAAAGATGGACATATTATTCATTCTCAATCCAGGAGATTGGATCGATGGGCAGAATACTTTAGAGATCAGTTCAACTGGCCTTCAGCCGCACTTCGGTTTCCCACGATCCCCAGTCGACCTGAATGGCAAGTTGATGTAAGTCCTCCGACTCTTTACGAAGTTGAAAAAGCTATAGGAAATCTGAAGCGTGGGAGAGCAGCAGGCCCTGACAGGTTTACCCCTGAGATTTTTAAGGATGGCGGTCCAGTATTAGCAGCGAGATTGACTGAGGTCTTAGGTAGAATCTGGGAACTGGACGTAATCCCATCTGACTGGTCTCAATCACTGATTGTACCAGTCTATAAGAAAGGACAAAAGTCCTCCTGTGACAATCACAGAGGAATTAGTTTGACTAATATAGTGTCTAAAATATTAGCTTCAATAATACTTCGACGTCTAACCAAAGCTCGTGAAGAGCAGACTAGAGAAAACCAGGCTGGTTTTCGACCTGGACGTGGTTGCATTGATCAAATATTCACATTACGTCAGGTCCTAGAACATAGACACACATTCAGACGCCCCACAATGGTAGTATTTCTCGACCTTAAGGCGGCATTTGACTCTGTTGATCGTAAGGTTCTATGGCAATGTTTGTCACTGAAGGGAGTACCAAAGAAGTACGTCAACCTTATAAAGGCTCTCTACTCGAACACAACTGGTCGAGTGAGAGCTTATGGTGAACTGTCATCAGAATTGATTACCTCAAGTGGTGTTCGTCAGGGCTGTCCACTCTCTCCATTCTTGTTTAACTTTGTCGTTGACGTCCTTTTAGAGATGACACTTTCCTCATCTAAATTTCCAGGAGTTGAACTTCTACCGGGAGATCCACTTGTTGACTTAGAATATGCCGATGACATAGTTCTATTTGGTGAAGACGCTGACAAAATGCAGAGTCTGTTGACCACTCTAAGCAACAATGCAAGCCTGTTCGGCATGCGATTCTCTCCCTCGAAATGCAAAATGTTACTTCAGGATTGGGTTGCGTCGACACCGGAACTAGTGATAGGGAGTGAAGTAGTTGAGCGTGTCGACCGCTTCACTTATCTCGGAAGTCTCATCAGCCCTTGTGGTTTGGTGTGTGACGAAATCTCAGCACGGATACAAAAGGCTCGACTAGCTTTTGCCAACTTGCGTCATTGTGGCGTAGGCGAGATATCCGTCTATCAACCAAAGGACGTATTTACTGCGCAGCAGTTCGTTCCGTCCTACTTTATGGCAGTGAGACATGGCCGATAAGAGTAGAGGATATTCGTAGGTTACTAGTATTTGATCATAGATGTCTTCGAAACATTGCTCGTATATCCTGGGACCACCGAGTAAGTAACTCAGTTGTTAGGAAACGGGTACTAGGTAAGGATGGCAAATCAATTGATGAAGTAGTGAAACTCAATCATTTGAGATGGCTGGGACATGTGTTGCGCATGCCCGACCACCGACTGCCCCGACGTGCTATGTTTTATGGTGTAGGAGTAGGTTGGAAGAAAGCTAGGGGCGGCCAGACCAAAACATGGCAGAAATCCATGAAGTCACTGACAAGTGGATTGAGTCATGTTGGTAGGTGTAGACTACCTGGTTGGGGACCGCGAGACGATAGCAACCGATGGTTAGAGACCTTGAATGACATGGCTCAAAATCGTTTGCAATGGCGCAGGTGCATCCACTCTTTGTGTTCTCCTAAACTCTAATCTTCTGAATTCTTCATGTCCTTTATTTTCTTTCCCAATTTATTCCACTGAACTATACTCCTTTAATAACATCATCAAACCTTAATGTCCCCTATCTCTACTTATACTTTCAGTACCTCTACCACTATGGGATTTGAATCGATAACTGAATCTCTGTGCTAATGTGGTATGGCAACTCGAACTGATGTACGTACGTACGAAGTTCCACGTTGTTACTGACTGACTGACTGACAACTTGAGCGTTCATATTACAAATATAACATGAGGATAATAAGAAGTAATATTCTGTTTTTTAGTGTATATAAAACAAAATCAAAACGCAAAAATAGATTTATAATATAAGTAGGTTAGGCGCACTTAATTCTAGAAATTTTTTAAGGAAAAAAAGTTAACGTGAATTTAAAGTGGAAGTAAAAGTACAGGATGAATAGTTCGGTTGATAATATAAGTCTAGCGACCAAAATTTATTGTATCACCAAAAATACAGGTGAGGACAAAAAAGGAAAATAAATACGATTATGAAAATGAGTGAACAGTCTTTCCATGAAGCCTGAAATGATTCAGATATTTTAACAAGATGTTCTATGCGAAATTACACAAAATGAAGTGTGATTGTCACAGAACAACAGCTAAATTCCTGACGACAAAAGTTGTAATTAGAATAATGTATGAAGAAACAATATGGGATATTGCTAGGCCTCCTCAGCTGCAATCTTCCCTTTATCGGTCGTTTTCGATCCCGGAACCACTGCGGCCCTAAAACCGATATCAGTTAATAAAAAGGGAAAGTGAAAATTCACTTAAAGCATGAGTTAAACTATCGTCATGACAGGACCTGTAAAACCCAAACCATAGAATACTAAGCACTAAGTCAATCTTTATTTGGAACTCAGCGGTATGGATTTACGACCTTATATGGGATGAGGCTCGGGAATTATAAGTCTTAATGACAAGACGATATTATCTAAGTTTTACGTTATGAGTCAATTTAACTCAATGACAGAGAGCATCAGAGGATTACTAAATCGCTGATTGAGTAATTTCTAATGGAGACTGAGTTTTCAGTTGATCTCCTACCAGGAGGTCCACTTATTAAATTAGAATAGGCCGGTGACATAGTCTATTTCGTGAAGACACTGATAAAATTCAGAGTCTTTTGGTAGCACTGAGCAAAAAATGTCAGGATGTTTGGGGTGCGCTTCTCTCCCTCTAAATGTAAGTTGTTGTTTCAGGACTGGTCTGTGTCAACACCTGAACTAAGGATAGGGAGTGAAGTAGTCGAACGCATCGACAACTTCACTTATCTTGGAAGTCTAATCAGCCATAATCGGTTGATATCTGACGAAATCATCATCTATGGCGAAAGCAAGATATCCGTCTATCAATTAAGGGACGAGTATACTGTGCGACAGTTCGTTCTGTTTTATTTTTTTTATTTTAAAACATAGATATTGGTACAAGGAGGCATCAAATACATATGCGCCACACGAATCTCAATTGATTTGTGTGAGGGCTGTGATACTGCCCGGGTGCCCAAACCGAAGCAGGTGGTTTTCTTAGGGGGCCACACCCCGAGCCTTTGACCTGAACGTCTGATCCACAAGGCAGTGGAGCATCGTAAGGAGATGCAGTCCCATGGTAGCCGGTGACCAACGATTGGTTCATACGCCATTTTTTCCCTCAGGATACTGGAGCCCATGTGCACCATTGATTTGGGATCCGGTTAAAGCGCCAGACGTTCGCTTTTCTTCCTCTCATTTTCGTAAACAACACCCCCGCTACGAGAAGGCAGTGAGTAGGACTTCCCTGGCAGAGGCTATATACGCGTGGCCATGTGAGAGCATTTCGAGAGGGAGAGCGGACTCTCCCCACTCTCGGCCGTACCAGGGCGTTTGGGGGCGTTCTGTTTTACCTTACGGCAGCGAAACATGGCCATTAAGAGAAGATACTCGTAAGCAATTAGTATTTGATCACAGATGCCTTAGAAATATTGCTTGCACCTGCTGGGATCACCGGGTAAGTAATAGTGAGGTTAGACAGACACAGGCTATTAAGGGATGGTGGTAAATCAACTGAGATGGTTGGGCCACGTGTTACGTATGCCTGAACGCCGATTACCACGATGTGCAATGATAACCAGTGTTGGGAATAGTTGGAAGAAAGTTAGGGGCGGCCAAATCAAAACGTGGCACCAGTACTTGAAGACACTAACTTCTAGTCTGAGCCATGTTGGTAGATGCAGACTATTTGGTTGGGGTCCGCGTGACTATCGTAACCAATAGTCGGAGACTCTGGGTGATACGACTCAGAATCGATCACAATGGCGTGGATGTATACACTTTCTGTCTTCCCTTAAACCATGAGATTAAGACTGCTTCATACCTTTATTTTTAGGAACTAATTCTTTCTTCTTGTATTATATCCTTATAAACAATCTTTCTTTTGTATATTACTAGCATTGAATTAACTACTTCTATGAATCCGGTGTCCATCTTATTGTGCTAATGAGGTGTGGCAACTTGGACCGATGCATATATGTGTCTGGTCCTACTTTGTAGCTGACTGGCCAATGGAGTGCTTGTAATATTATATCGGATTACAATTTTTCGAGTACTAAGGTTGTCATACATTCTAAGATTATTTCAAACATAATCTTCACACACACTGCCTTTAAAAAAACTCAAGGCCCAATTCCTATCAAACTATTTGTTCAGAATGTTTATATAAAATCAGTGACGACTTAGGTCCGACTGATACCAGAACGCTTGGAACAAACTAGTTTTATGATATATATAATTATGCATATGAGAAACTAAGAAATGTATGAGGATATACTTTGCGATACTTACCATACGAGCATTAAAGAAACATAAGTAAGTGTTCCATAGACTAGTGAAAAATATGACATATAAGACACGATATCCGGGAGGGACAAGTGCAAAGTTAATGGTTTGCAATATAGGCCAATAAACTAAGTCTGACAAATAACCAGAAAGAAATGACTGGCGACACCGCTGAAAAGCTCCAGCCATCGTACATGTGTCACAAAATCCATTATCTAATAAAAATAAAACACAGTAAAAGGTCAGATTATGACAGTTTGCTAATATTATTTCACAATGTCTGCTAGTTGAATTTAATATATTTATTACTGTGTAGTCAACATGGCATTCTAACCTAATAGATCAAATACATTTAATGTTCAAACCATACTTAATCTGAACATTATTAAAAACAACCTGATTAAGAGATGATGCGTCATCCAAATTATTATTATTATTATTTATTATTTTTATTTTAACACATAAGTATAGGTACAGGGAGGCATCAAATACATATGCGCCACACGAATCTCAATTGATTTGTGTGAGGGCTGTGATACTGCCCGGGTGCCCAAACCGAAGCAGGTGGTTTTCTTAGGGGGCCACACCCCGAGCCTTTGACCTGAACGTCTGATCCACAAGGCAGTGGAGCATCGTAAGGAGATGCAGTCCCATGGTAGCCGGTGACCAACGATTGGTTCATACGCCATTTTTCCCCCAGGATACTGGAGCCCATGTGCACCATTGGTTTGGCGTCCGGTTAAAGCGCCGGACATTCGCTTTTCGTCCTCTCATTTTCGTAAACAACACCCCCGCCACGTGAAGGCAGTGAGTAGGACTTCCCTGGCAGGGGCTATGTACGCGTGGCCATGTGAGAGCATTTCGAGAGGGAGAGCGGACTCTCCCCACTCTCGGCCGTACCAGGGCATTTGGGGGCAATGGTGTACATTGTCTTTAGTATACTGAGGGAACAAATGGCGTATGAACCAATCGTTGGTCACCAGCTACCAAGGACCGCATCTCCTGACGTCGCTCCACTGCCTTGTGGACCAGACCTTTAAGTTGAAAGCTCCGGGTGTGGCACCCTAAGAAAACCACCTGCTTTAGTTTGGGCACCTAGGCAGTATCCCAGCCCTTACATAAATCGAATGATTTATGTGGCGCATATTTATCTGGTTCCTCTTTGTACCAATTTTTATGTATTTAAATAAATAAATAAACATACTTTTTAACCAATTTCCACGCATCATCAAGTCTTTAGTGGCAATTTATGCTGAATACGATGTACATCTCCATACTAATCCTACACCAGACAACATCGTCCGTCCGTGAATCGGTTTTCAGGCATATGTAGCTAGTGCAAACCACCTCGGTACTTCTCATTCGATAGTCTAAAATACACGAGAAATCTGTCGAACACACATGATCGAATACCAAATTGGAGGAGTCAATATTTGTTCTACACATCGACGTCTACGTCCAGAGTTTGCTCTTCACAAGCCATAGTTGAGCGTTGGATGATTATTGAGGGTAATAATTTATGCATCACATCAGTCAAACTGATTCCTCAGTGGTTGTCAAAAGAGGACTTGTGTCTTTTCCTATAGACTGGGACAATCAGAGATTGAGACTAGGTGGGTGGGACCGCGTTCAGTTCCCCGACTCTAGTGAACATCTCAAATAATTTGACAGTCGAAATCGGACCGCCATACTTAAACATCACTGGAGTTAATCCAACATAGCCTGCTGCTATCCCTCACTATGATCTTTTCTATTCCATTAAGAGTTTGGGGGCCTATGTGGACATTCCAATGGGGTCGCCTGGTAAAATTAGAAGACAGAAAAGTATAAAAGGAAAAACTAATTTTTTTCAAAGCACTCGTTGCAGTCTTTTGTATAGAGGGTGAAGAATTTTCACATCATTTTCAGAAAGTCTCAGTGGTTACCGATTTTTTATACTTGTTTCTTTAACAAGTCTGAAAGGTTGTCTACTTTTAATCAGCGCCGCCTACATAGCTTTGCTTTCCGCTAATCACCAATGAATCCGACGATTGCGTAGACTTAATCAGGCTATCTCTAAGTTGTCTTCGCTTCAAATTATATTTTAAACCCGATTGGATGAGTTTCCGGGCATCAAGCAAATCAGTACATATTGCTGAAACTCCGTGATATCTCTTAACCTTAACCACTGGTCAAGAGAACATTTAATTATGATGTACAAGTTACTAATAATGATTTTAAACCTGATATACAGCAGAACAGTTCAAAAGCTAGGAATTCAAACCTTGCAATCTACTAACAGAAGTCCTATTTTTACCTTCGATTGATACATTCAAGGGATTAAGCACGCACATAAGCTTACTATGAAAATATCTAGCATAAACCATCGGGATTTTATCTTCAGAGCAAAATCTAAAACATTTAATATCGAAACTTAGTCACTGATTCCAACAATATTTGGCGATATTACTTCTAGTTCTTAAACATGTCGTTAGTGAAACCAGGAAATGATCATTCTTTAGCTGATAGTCAATTTTGACAACTATGGTTTGCAAAAGTGACTGAAGTCTACAGAAGGTAGGTCTACATATAACATAAAGTATTCATATATGATACTTCAGAGTAATTAAATATTGAAAGATATAAAATAGGTTAATCATTTACTTTATCTTGTGATTTAAATCAAGTTGTACAGGGTACATTTCAAATAAAGGTGACTATATTCGAAATTGAATTCAAGGAAATAGGTTAACTTACAAAGAAAAAATATCGCCAGGCTTATAGGTCCTATTAACACTTCATCTAACAACACCTTCTTTGCGACTATAGTCAACGATACTCCAGAGAATACTTTGTCTAACCAACTATAATATATAAATTGATAGAATCCTTGGAACGATCCGATAGCACTCTGTCTAACTATAGAAACGGAAACAAAGGAAATATGACCCATATTACACAAAAAGCTGACAAACATTTGCATGTACGGAATAAAAGTTTCATCATTGAGAGAAAAATAAACAACTCAGACGGGATAGTACATTAAGGTCCCCGGCCTAAATTAAACTATGCGAGGACAAGGCAGATTTGGTGATGACATAAAACGTTGACTTTAAAGTCAACTTGGTTATGTTTTCAGAATAAGAAAATTGATAAGTCGATCATAAACAATATGGTCACATATGTGACCATATGCCAAAGGTTTATGGGTCTAATTTGTCGAATATCGCACCAAATAAAAACTATAAATGAACAGTAGTTTGAGCAATACTGATCGTAAAGCCAAGCATTAAAAATATAGCTCAAAGCCAGTTATATCGGCGAATGTAAGGTATGTGACAAAAGCAAAAACGCCATGAGTTACGAATTGTGCTCAGATACAGATCAAGATGTCAAGATTTCTGCACACATATGTGCCAACCGATGTCATATCATAGTCTGGTAGTCCAAGGTAGTCTTTTACCCTACTATGCTTACCACCACCAGACATCAAGGTAAATGATGATAGAGCATATGAAATTTAGTGAAGTTGTACACAACAATTTTCGCTTAAAATCTAGACAAGTATTTGTTTTGCTCATGAATCCGGAGAAAATCGTTACTCAGTGAGACATTTTAAGATGAAAAGACAAGCTGACACTTACTAATGGTGTTGAAGTTGTAATTTTTTGTATCTGTGATGAGATATATCCAAGATTTTTTAGATGATTCTTGATCACAAACAGAGCACAGGTCGATGTTGGAGCCCGAATTACAGTTAGGTGGACCAAAAAAGTACATTTTGAGTGACTGAGCACAAATTTCCCCCAAAGCCATCAATCCTCCTCCAATTATTATATTTTTGATATAAGGGTGATATACATGGCCTTTGTAAATTAGTGGTGACCTTGCTATTTTGCAGTTCTTGTCACAGCGTGGTGCTTCTGGAGACATAGATATTTCAGCTCACGTGCATGAATAAAAACGGGATTGCAAGCGGTCAGAAAGGTATCAGTAGACCAAATCACAAGACTTTTAAATGGACCACAACAAATATTACGCGGCACTCCAAAAGTATAACAAACGTATAATCAAAGTGGTACTTAAGGAGAAAGTGTAAAACTGCTCATAAAGATACATGGTTATCTTGATCAATATGAGGGCTATAAGTTGTTTAATGATCTGAGATAGTCTGAATAGCAGGACAAATTAGTAATTGAGCGTTTTGTACAATATGTATTGTTATTATTTCTCTGTGAGAAGAATGTTTAATGCAAACTAGATGCTAAGACAATACGCAGTACAGGCCGTCACCCAAAGCATGTAGTGGTCTACGGCAAGTTATGTCCGTTCAAATCAGCCGCCGTTGTATTTTAACGACCTTAAACAGTCTGACATGAGGCAGCTATTCGGTAATTGGACAATGTTGTAACGTGATATATTTTCTATATACTTTTATCACTCATTTGTAAATAGTCAAAAGTTTTAATTGATTAAAGACATTCTGGAAAATTGATTTTCTGATCTCGCAAATACCTCGAGCTCCCAATTTTAGGGAAAATTTAACCCATTTCGGGGAAATTCTGGGGGAAGCCGCCATAGTAAACTTTGGGGAAACGGCTTATATTCACCAATAAAAGCGCAACATTTTTCACAATTTCGAGGAAATTTTGCGGAAACGCCCAAAATTTCCCCCGATTTTGGGGTTTTTTCCCAAAATTTACCCTAAATTTTCCGCTATTCCCCAAATTTTCACCAAAATCTTACAGTAGTTTTTGCAAACTCGTTTTAACCAAATACTTCTCCAAAACTTTATACAGAAATCACAGGAAGACCAGGCGAGAATACATACGTACAGTTTTTGCTGTGATGTTACGTTATTTTTTATCAATAACGCAGTGCCAAAGAAACTTAACGTAAATCGACCTATAGTTGTAATTAAAAGGCTGATTCGTGAAAAATAGAAACATTTATTACGGTTAATAAAATTACAAATCATCTATTTATACAAGGTTTTTCATTGCTTTGTAACATGAGCAGATTATGTAGACGTTGAACCATCATTCACAATGTTCTACAAAAATAAAAAATATTTTTTACTTTATAAGCAAATGTCAAGATATGTAAAACGTCGATGACGTTTCAACGGTATAACAGTGTTGTTTATATTGCGAGAAAATAACTTACAATTATGTCTGCTAAAACTTGCGAAGCCAGCTGAAAGCAAGATGGACAAGAAATAACTTTTTTACTGACAAGAAAAAAGTTGTATCAGTATAAATATTGATCACAAAGTAATATTGAAACTGTAATATGTACTATACCAAACATGTAATGTGCTTTTAGCTCACCCTTTCTTTGGATCGCCATTCACGCTTATTTACTTTATCTCTTGTGTCATGCAAGAAAGCCCGGCTTGCAACATCCATGGTGTGTATTCTTTTTCTGGACAGGTCGCACTTCGTAGTCGGGAACACAGAGCACCTACAAATATATTAATACAGTAGTGTGAACTTACTTTGAACCGTCCGGTAAAATTTGTACTTACTAATACCAAATTCACTTTTCGTTCCGCGTAAAGTGTACGTGTTCGCTAGTTCCGGCGAAAACAGGTAACTTAGACAGGTTTTTGCTGATTTACGAGGGTCACCACATATGAGCTTGTAAAATCTGGCTACCCAGAATTTGTTTAAACTCCTGTTACGACTTACGAACTGATCACGGAACTCCAGCTCATGTAAAGCAATTTTAAAAGAACTCAACTCCTCATGCGTTCTTAGTGAAAAAGCAACAGTTGAATTATCTACTCGCTCGGTACACCTGTCCATTATACTCATGGATAATCGTTCGTTTAAAGCGATCAATTTATCCACCTTGCTAAACAGTTCAGTGACTGCTTTCAGAATCATTTTCATCGTTTTGCTGTTATTACTGCACAACCTTTTCTTATCATGATTACATTAAATCCAACTTACGTTCTATTAACCACCACAGATCTCAACTATGAATACATTACTAACTAATGGACCTGTTATGCGACCTAGGATCGGCCACAGCTGTTGGTCAGAGCTTATGAACAAGCTTAGACCATCGTAGTTCAACCACAGCTTCAATTCTGTGAAACGGATTTGATGTAGCCGATTTTCGGAAATCCTCAATGCACTTGATTTTAATTCCAAATGGTAGTATATTCCCGTTTCCAGAATTTTAGGCTCCACGATGTCGCATCGACTTAGAACACTTCGGACGGATGTTGGGAGTTCAAGAATGCTCATCCGAGAAAGGTCCGGAATTTCGTCAGCCTCTTTCACTGTTATGTCACCACCTTTCATCATCCCAATGACAATTCTGTCTACCTGTTCTTTCCTTGAAAGATGAATGGCTGTAGACATTTCTGAGTTCACACAAACTATGAATTGTTATTAAATAAAACCAGATAACCGTCGGCCCTACTGTCAGAACACTGGACGTAACTATATGAAGCAGTGGCTGTGTTCTGAAACAATATCGTTATACTGCTCTCTAGCTGCGGTGGTCCCTAATTCTGTGACGACAACTGAATTGTTGTTCTCTTTGTCTCTGCTGGTTAACTGATACTTTTTGTGAATTCAGCTCTTAATTTCCACAACCTTCTGTAAGAGGTTGATCTGAGACAGCCCATCAACCTCAATTACCTGGTGGCTTGAGCCCACTTTTTAGCAATCTTAACGATCTGCGAATTATTGTTCTAAAAGAGATAATTAACTTACGTTAGACTGAACAAAAACAGTAATTGAGGTTCTGAACAGTACAAATAACCCACTCGCGTGAAAAATTTGAAAAAGTGGTTTATGGCGGACGACTCACTGTCTCCTGTCTGTTTGACGCAGTAAAACAAAACCTTAAATTCGATGAAGGATTCGTGACCAAAAGACATTATTTCATTAAAATTATTATTCCATAATTGTGGTTTATTATTTTAGGGTTTATTAATCCAATTACGATGAAATATTATTCTAGAATAAATCGTAACGCATATTTTTGGGATCCACCCAAAAATTTCCCCAAAGTTGGAAGATTAATATGTGAAGAATGGATTTGCGGAACACAAAAAAGCGACGTCATTGAACAAATCTCTTTCCGAAATTGCACGACAGACTAGAATTCCTTACAAAAACAACACACATTTTCAACGTTTTAGATTGCGTGATTGAAATTATAAAATTGTTAAATATTATTGAGCGACTAAAGAATGAAAACAAAAAAAATACTCAGTCATTTATTCAAGCAATTAGCACATCTGAAAGACGTAGTAATTTATTTAAATACACTGTGCAAATACTTGTGGTTCTATATGTGGATGTGATATCTAGCCCAAACGAAGCATGTGAAGGACCCGCCGTTCACCTGAAATGAGAGAGAAAATGTATCTTCACATTCTTCTACATTTCATGTTCTCAACAAACATCAACATGAAAACAACTTACGTGGCAGCGTCACATTGGATTCGCTTCCCAAAACCTGAACTAATATTGACAACACCAACACTGCTTGCACTAAAGAGTGGATGAGACGCGATTTATAGCTGTTTGTCGACATTGTTCTCTTGCTGATTTCTAATGTTATTGTAGAGTATATATAGATTTTACTGGTCTTGTTATAAACCAATGATCAGCAAGAAATTTATATATTAACAGCTATTGGCCAACCTGTTTAGGTCAGCCAATTAATTATGATTTTGCATTTCATATTCAGTATCTGTTTGGTGTGAAACAAAACAGTTTCTGACCACCTACTAAATTTCTCAGTCACACACACATACGTAACAGGTTTAAAGAATCACTTACAGGATAACTAGAACCGTCAATGCAGGTTAATTAAAGAATATCTAGAATATTGTTTGTTCCAATGCTAGACTGTCAAGATGCATCTTGGACTAGTCTCATCACTGTCTCGTGAAATTTCACAAGTGAGATTATCCCGTTTGTTGTAACTTGGTACTACGTCCGTTTGATAGAATCTTGGTTTGAGATGTCGATGGGCGACCAAAATATCCATTATAATAAGAGAAAATAACTTTTGCATGCTGTACATTACGCCTTCAATGTTCGTTTGACAAACGAATTACCTTTTGTACTTCCTAGAATTACATGATGGATAATTCCACGTAAAATAAGTACAATACGAAAGAACCACTGTCTACCACTTTAGAAACTGATCAGTTAGAAGGCAAAATGTGTCATCTGGACATTTTACTACAAATCGTTCATATACTTTATCGAAAATGAATCATTTCAATCATTCATGGTTTCCATTACAAATAGGCATTAATTTCGGTAGACTTCATTTGTGTTTAATAGCATCCAACATTTGTTGAGTAAGCGATTTTGTGTCAAACAAATTCATGACCACCTAAACAACTGAACTATATTCCCTAAACGTTGCTCTCAAGTATTTGCGATGATGACAATTACCACAGTTTCCACGTGCTTATGTTAAGTTTTTGAAGTGTCCTCAATGTCATTCAACTGCATTTGATGTGTGGAAACATGTGACAGGATAACGTTCGTCAGCGCAAATAATGCGATTGTCTCTATTCTATCACAGACATACGCCATGCATCAGTTTTAAGAAAAGATTGCGAACTAACTTCGTCAATTATGGATAATAGTCGTGCAGTTCGAATGTGTGTAATAAGTTATAAAATTAGGAGCCGTTTCACACTTGAGATTACAATAATATATTCATATGCAAACAATCTTGCATAATAAATCACACAATGACGTAAAGAGATCAAATGAATGAGAACAAGGTGTTCTGCATTTCTGTATCCTCAACACATTGAAGATGCCACAGGTATTCGGAGTTTGACAACGCTTTAACCAGTAAAACCTAATATGGAGCGTACCCACCAAGTGTAATCAAAAGACAGAAGCGAGCAGGTTCGAAGATATATTTGATAGGCTATCAATATATCGAGGATCGTCTGATCTAATCTGGCTGGCGATTGCAGTTGTTGAGCACGGCGTTCTCATTCGTGGTCTGGTGCGGATGCATGACCGAGCGCCTTCA